AAGYACGAAAAACTCACATTTTAACTCCTGTGAAGATGACAAGGTGTAGTTTTCCCACTTAATATTTTAATAAGAACACATATAAGAAAAACTTTGCAATTTTTTTTAATTAAGGAGCACTAATAAGGTAAATAGTCYGTATGTCACATATCTAAAACAGAAATTAATGAATGCAAACTTCCAAATTTATTTTGAAAAACTATTGTTTAATCTGTGCTAATTTAGAAAGCAAAATTAAATATTAACACCTTAAAGGGAARGCAAAAGTAAATTCAAACACTCAGGAGAAATTCACACATGTGGCTACAAATCACATATAGTCCATCCATAGGTCTCCTAATGGAATTTTGAATTTAATTCAGATAAGTGTAAACCTGAACAAATTAGCTCTGTTTCCTCACTTCCTAAAGACTCTTCCACGTCTCACCCTATATCTTGACCACCTGGTTCTGCGTCACAGCAGTGCCTACTCATTTTTGCCGCCACTGTTTCTGTCCCTTGCTTTGTAAAACTGCCTTGCCTCCCAGGCACCCTTCATGTCTAGATCCTTACATCCAACTGACATGTACACCACAGTGGGCCCTCCACATTCGTGCTTCCACAGCCATGGATTTGACCAACTGCACGTCAAWTTTTTTYTTTTTTWATTTCACCTSTACCAAGCGTACACAGACTTYTTATTTAACATTCCCTAAACAACACAGTGTAACCWCTCTGTGCAGAGTGCTGACATTAGGGGTTATAAGTAGTGTAAACACGATTATGTATCTGGGAGGATGTACACAGGTCATCCATAAACACGATGCCGTTTTGCATGAGGCCACTCCATGTAACAACTCTGGGTGACATAGAATGCAGAGGACCAGATCAGGAGCCAGACATCAGCTCCAGAACRCCTTGGACTGCAGTGAGCATCTGGCAGGACTGGTTGTTCTTCAACTTCCCTCTTGCTCACAACGTTCTCTGGCCCTAAACTTCAGRACAAGAGTCAAAAGCAAAGATGTCTGATGGATCATTGTGCAGAGGACCCAGGTATCTGGTTCCTCATCATAACGAGGTTATGGACCAGCCTTTGCCACAAGTCTCTGGAATGGAGCAGGCTCTTCATGGCTGACTTCAGAGATCTTGTGAAGTTTGGAGCCCAGGAGCCTGACTCTCCACAACATGAGGGCGGCAACCTTGGCTCCTGAAGTGTCTGGCAAGAGACTGGGCAAATTAATCCTTTCTTCTTTCATTCTCCTTGCCTATCAGTTGGGATGACCATACCTTAAGGGTTTGAGGATTCAAAACACAATGGAGGGAAAGCCTTTTGCCAGCTGCCGGTTACGTAACAAGCAATCCATACATGATAGCGGTGGTTGTCATAAGTAATGATAGTAATTGCAAAAATGAAGACTGTCCAYTAGACAATTAGTCACTGTCACAACACAGCGCTTATCATTTCCTGGCTTTATCTTTGATTATTATATTTAAATAATAGGGAATTGGTCAACTCYATAGAGCACACATGCTATAAAAAGCATATATTATTTAAATGTCATTTCTGTTAGCTATTTCCCAGGGTCCTGACTTATAGTTTGCTTGTTTATGAGCTTCCTCTAATATAATTTGTTTTGGTTGGGTTTAATTTATTCTGGGTGTTTTAAAACTGGACTCTTTCATTCTTATGATTCAAAACACTAGTCAAAAAAATGTCTGATGCTTATTTACTTTCTGAGTGGCTCTTCAGGATGAGTTTTATCATCAAATAACATTCAGCAGGTTGTTTAATCCAAACTGAATGTGTTTTGTTTTTTATCTTACTATACAATTTGTAGAAAATTCACACCACTTGCATTCAACTGTTGTACCAAATGTCTTACTTTCTTCAGAAAGATCATGACAAGCAAATCACAGTGTTTGCTGTGAGCTTGTTCCCAGGTATGATAGATCTAATGCCCATCACCTGGACAGTGGTCATGTCCACCAGAAACTCCCCAAAGGTAAGTAATGCTACCAAAGCAAGAATGAAACTGCCTCACAAATCATCTTTGAATTTCTTCATTAACACTGATGTGAACTGGAATAAGGTGTGGTGGAACCTGCAAATCAAGAGAGGTGCGATGGCCCTGCCTCTGCCCAGAGCGCCTGCCTAGGCTCACCTCAGTGCTCAGTGTCCCCACCTGCAGAACACAGCGCCAAGAATCCACCATCCAGAATGCTGGTCATCGACTAGAATTGAGTGAGATGTGGAGGCCGTCAACAGAGACAGGAGCAAGCTTCAAACTCCTCTGCTTTTCCCCCTCTGGAAGATCCTGAACCTGAGAAGCCAGGACTGCAAACCACAGGGAACTTCACCATCATCGGACACTGGTGTGCTCATCTGAGGCTTCTGCGTGTCTTCTGACGTGTTCTCCTCAGGTAACACAGTCATCCGCCCCTGTTTCGCCAGCTCCCTCAGTCACCGGCACACCATGTGTCTGCACCTTTCTGAGTGTGGCTTTCCAGGGACTTCTCAGAGCAACCCTACAAGCAGGTCTGTCACACACCCCATTTGACAGATGGGGAAATTAAGGCAATTCCTTTCACTGTCACTGATTTAGCRTATGGCAGATCCATGACCAATCTCCAGAGCCATTTCTTTGAATTACGTCAGGCAAACTCTACCACAAAGGCGTCAAAGAAGTCTCCTGCTTATATCAACATTGAGTACGCTGCAGTGAGTAGCATACATCCACCCAGATGTTAGAGAATAACTATTTGAAATTCAACTGCACCCACAAAGCACGGATCACATATGTCAATAAAATAATTTCTTGTCCTCATTTTGGGGGATACATTGTTCTTTTCTTTCTAAAAGAATTTTAAAAATAATTTCTTGAAACTGCAGCAGTTTAAGTATCTGTTGAGATATATAATCTCAGGAAGAAGGTATCCATTTCAATCTAAACTGTAGTGACCACTTACACATTTTTTGATTATGGTACGAAGTCACATTTCATTATCATACAATGTCATGCAATGATGATGAATTTAATCATCTTCTGAGAAAAACAAGCAAACAGACTCCATGAAGCTTACATAGAAAAGAAGGTCATGAGGACCAGTGAGCATTACCAAGAAAAACAGACAGAATTTGGGAAAAAGAACAACCAGAAAACAACTTCATTTTCTATTGTGGCTCCACTTTCTAAGACAGGACTGGTTATGATGAATTCAAAAGACACACTTTGTTCAGACCATGAGTAAATATTTACAGAGGGCTCCCTATGAGCCAGGGATTGCATGAGGCCTTGGAGACATGAAGATAAAAAGATGCAACTTCCTGTTTTCAAAGAGCTTAAATCTTTGAGAGATAAATGTGCAAATCCACAGTCCCACTACAGTAGGATAACTGCTTGAGTGGGAGCTGGTGGCCCCCAGGGCRATTCCCTGCTGGAAATGGTCCTCTCAAGCCAACTCTCTTTATGAGAAGACTTCCTCTCTCAAAGGGAGGCTAAATGTATCCTTTATTAATGGAATGTAAGCCACAGTGAAGGAAGATTAATCAACTTGAATGTAACTTAGCATTTCAAGTTTAGGCACTATGGCTGCATTTAAAATGGTCAGGGTATGATTTGCTTTAGCAATATGAATTTAAAGGATGAAAGGGGGATTTTTTGCAAAGGGGGATTTTTTTTTTTTTTAACAAGAACAGTTGAGCCCTTGAATGTTGGCCAGTCCTCATAAAAGATGGAGGTGCACCCAATGAACCTCTGAAAGAATGAGCTGCAGACCTGCGTTCTAGTCCTGCCCAGGGTGGGGTTGCTGGGCTGGTTCCAAGCAGCTACCCCATCTGTGGGTCTCATCTCCTGTTCCACACAACCTATTTGAATTTTTCAGCCCRTGTTCAATACTATATTCTATTATGAAAGCTGCAACTTTGTAGTTCAGTACATGAATCGGGAAAGTAACCTCAGTCAATAAAATTCTGCTTCCTTGCTCAGACTCTCCTGCAACCTCCTGGCACTCTGATGGACTGGAGGCCAGGGCAGGAGTCTGTTCAGCAGCCATTGGTTCTRATGTCAGAAGGTCTTATGGCTGGGTTTGCAGGAAGCCTCCCAGGGTTGACAGGGGTGGATGCTCACTCCTGGCTACAGAACCTCCATGGTTCAGTTGCCCACTGAGGTGTGAACCACATCAAAAGTCAAGAAATCAGTCTGGCTTCCAAAAGAGCATAACCTCTATCCTGCTATATAAAGATTTGTCTCTTAGGACATGAGTTAAWGTATCTAGAACTCTCTTAAATGCACCTGGGGCCTTGACATTTTAAATAAAAATAAGTTTGTGAAAAGTGATTTCAGCAACAATTCTCAAAGTATAACATAACTTGTTTAGAATTTCATGGTTTTTGCTTTAATAATGCAATCCATGTAAGTTTGATGGAAGTGAAATAAATACAGTAACATGGCAGGAGCTGATTTCTTTCACTATGCATGTAAGGGCACATTTCAGGACTTAATCGAACAAGACAAGAAGAAATGTATACATCTGGCACATCACAATCATGTAGAAGCCTTCACCATATAAAGCTGATGCATCTTCATTAGGTATTTCATTAGCTGTTTTCTATTCCAGAGAATTTTTTAGCTCTCCACACTCATAAATGCCTAATATCACAGGTTTTTAAGACTTACCRTGCTAACTAGAGTGGAGTTACAGGAGAACAGAAATTAAGTTTTGTTATCTTTGAGTTAACAACTCTGAACCTTATTCAATGAACACATAATTTTAAGTGCTATGATTAATAATCAAAACAGCCTAAAGTGAAAGATTTTTAACTCTACACAGACACTGTTGAATATACAAACACTTTGTCAGTTGTAGACTATCTTATGATATGGGCTTAGATTAAAATTTGTGTTTGCATTTATTTTATACTATAGCCAGCTATAACATGAAATATCAGTGATAAAATTACTTTCCATTTCATAAACATCACAAAATAGAAACTGAAAATGTGTTTTATCAGTAAAACAGACCTATCTCGTTAAAGCCACTGTAGCCCAGCTCTTGCCTGCTAAGTCCCAGATCTTCCAGGTCCATGCATTTAAATCCAGGTGGGCACTGGTAGCCTTCTTCTAGCTCTGGTGAGCAGTGTGTATCTGGGATAGCTAAGCTATTCCAGGTTACATTCCTGTGAACGACACACCAAAGTGTTAGAAATTTTGACAATTTCTGTTGATTAAAAAGGAATGACATAATCATCTTCATGAATAACTGCTGTATAGGGGCACAGATTTAAGATTTATGATTCATGAATGATATTTGGAACTTAATGCCATATCAAACATCCTCAAATGATACTTGATTAATTCTGATAATAGTTCCTTAGAGGAATATTGCTGTAACTGCTTTTGCCATTATAGAATAAAATCCAGATAAGCAAAGAAACAATTTTTTTCCCATAGATTTGCATAGAAGAGATATGTATGGGCTGCTAACTTCTCTTGAGATTTCTTGTTATTCACAAAATCCTTGTCCTGCTGTTGGCACAAATGTTACTTCTCCGCTTCTGATCAGCATTAGGTGATCACGGTCATTTACTGTATGGCACAAATCCTGGATTTTATAAATGACACTTAGCCATCTGCTGTGTTCACAGATGTTCAGTTTAGAAAGAAAACCAGTCTACAGAAAGAAAAATTGAAGGAACTGAAGGTCTTGCCTTGGAAAGACAGAGATCAGGAGGTGATTTGGTGATGGCTTTGGGAATGATGGTCATTTAGGTGGAGGTGACAAAACCCTTCTCTGTCTTTATGGACAGACTGAGGATTAAGCTGATGTAGAAGAATTAGATAGGCAATGACTTTCTTGCTAGCAAGCAAGCTCACCCACAAGTGGAGACTGTGGAATCTCCTACTGAACTTATAAACAGGCCCCATTGCTGCTGAGACCATCCACATGGACTATGCAGAGTGTAAAGCTGGACTAGACAATTTCACAAGCTTCTAACCCTGTGACATCAATGTTTCTAGGAATTTCCTAAGTTCCTTCAGCTTATGAACAAATTGAGGCTGACTTGCTGGGTGACATGTTCTTTTCTTTAATACCTTTCCACATTCAAGTAGCTACTCCCTTCTCCATATTGAACACACCCTCTAGAGTCTCATAGCAAGCTGTGCAATCCCATAGATATTTGATACACAAATACACATGGCTTTACACACACACACACACACACACACACACACACACACACACTCATCATGCCTGCTGATAGCTTACCCAGGGCTCAGACATACACAAAGCTCTACAAGCCTTACCCTCAGTTCAAAGACCACATTCATGTTCCTTCAGAGTTTTGCCTTCTTTTAGCTGCAAACCCACTAATTTGTCTACACTTCCAGGGAATAAGTGATCTAATCATTGCTACTTCAAATTACTCTTTAAGCTGACCCTTTGGAYCCCACATGCAAAACCAAAGGTAAGATTCCAACTATAGACATTATCACTTGGGCGGGTCAGAAAGATAAGATTTTAGGCAGGCACCTCATTTATGCTCCTCAGTTCCCATTCTTCATGTAGGCCAAATGACCCCTCTTTGCCTTCTTCTAATCTGAGGCTGTTTCAGCTTTGGCACCAATAACACTAGAGCAAAATGGCAACCGTACTCCCGAGCACTGGGTGAGGCTGCTGGGTTCAACTCCAGCTCTGTATTTATTGACTGTGTGACTTGAATAGTTCCTAAGTCCTAAACTCAGTTTCCTCATCTGTGAAACAGGAAAGTACCATAACTGAAAGCAAACTTAAGATACAGGGAAGATCAGTAGAGCAGAAGCAAGGGAATGAGAGGCAAGGAAGGGGAAAGAAATATGAAGTGACTCTAAAAGAACCCGTGTTGWATACATATGTAAAGGTACCAAAGGAAATATCTCCTTTGTGTATATGTAGAYAGTACTAATCAAAAATAAGTGAATAAAGGTGTGAGAGGAAGACCAGCAGAGTAGAGAAGAGAGAAAAGRGGGAGGGAGGAGTGGAGGAGAGAAGTAGGAATGGGGATTGAAGTAAAATTCCTTGTTTGTAAAATTATGTCAAAAGGAATCCAGATATTATATATACATATAATGCTCTAATAAAAAATATAGGCAAAGTTACGAGAGGGTTATATAAAATAAGCTAAGTGATGTGCATGTATAAAAACTATCATGTTTCAAGTAACCAAATCAATGTTATTATGAATACTTAATAATTATAATATATTGCAGCATTAATCAGGCATGCAAAAGCACAACAGTCATGGATGATCCAAGAAACAGAGAAGATATTTTGTTGGCATGTGATATTGAGGAAGGCAAGGTGAGGTTCAGAGAGGGAAAATGGACTACACTATCAAAATTAATTTGTTAAAATTTTCAGTATTTTTAAATGAACAGGACCAATATTCTAGATAACATTCTATCTACATAGATTGTTGGACTCTAGTGCCAGTCTGCCTGGCCATGAATTCTGGCCCAGCCCCTTACTACATGTGTGACTTAATCTGTATGTCCCTCAGCTTCTTCATCTACCTGTAAGATGGTGGGAAGATACCTACCTCATAGGACTTAGGTTGAAGTGTAATGATTTTTGCTTATACAGACACACAGTGGGTACTTGGTTGGTTACAGATAGTCTGAAATTTGTGGACTATCTAGATTGAAATTCCAGCTCAGGTGCCTGCCATGTTAGTGGCCTCATTGCTAAAACGGGGATGATGACAGCTCCTACTCTGTAGGAGCATTTAGTGATTAAATGGGCTAATGCACCACATCTAGAATAGCACTGGAAATTGAGTTATTCACTCAATAATGGTTAACTTTTACTATTAAGTTTTCATTGATTTATAAATATTGGACTTTTTCTCTTTCTGATTTTGATTTCTTTTTCTTTCATATTAGCACTGATTCTCATTTCAGGCACAACTCTATTATTAGCACAGATATTATTCTGAAGGCTTTTGGCTTTAGAGACAACAGATTTGAAACACATTACTTTTGCCAGCATTGAGCCATTAGCGGATTCTTATGAGAGACATATTTATTAGATGATTGATTGCTCTGGAACACATGTATCTAAAACCATATGGTAATTCTTATTTTAAAAAATTTGAATAAACATCAGGAATTCAGAATATATAGTTGGCATTTATCTTCATTTTCTTGGTTGACAAGAATCTTACAGATTTTATTTTTATTTGTTAAAACTTATTATTTTCTCATTCATTTTTCCTTACATATTCTGGATAGAAAAGAGATTTTCTGGAATCAGTTATGTTGAACTGCTGCTCCACCTGGAAAATTCTAGATTATGAGGCTTCCAGTCATCATCAATATCTGCTTAGGCCTAAGTGAGGTTCTCCACCTGCATTTCTTACTCACAGATTCCTTGAAAAAARTATTGAATTATAATCTCCCTAATTTTATTTTTTAACCAATTTCCAAGATCTTCAAAACACTGCAGTTGCTTTTATTCATTTCTATGTGCTACATCCAATTAGAAAATTTTTCATTTGTGTCTTCTGTGACCTTTTGGCTATGTTCTGCCAAACTGTTTTTGTGGAGGGCAGAATACTAGTTCCCTAAAGATGCCTACATTCTATTTTTTTTTTTTTTTGTACCAGAGATTGAACTCAGGGGCACTCAACCACTGAGTCCCATCCCCAGCCCTATTTTGTATTTTATTTAGAGACAGGGCCTCACTGAGTTGCTTAGCACCTCGATTTTGCTGAGGCTGGTTTTGGACTCACAATCCTCTTGCCTCAGCCTTCCAAGCTTCTGGGATTACAGGCATGTGCCACCAYGCCTGGCAAGATGCCTACATTCTAATCTCTGGAACTCGGAAGCACAATTGGCCCTCCATATTCCCAGCTTCCATGTGGGATTCAAACACCTCCGATGGAAAATACTATTTTGAAAGGTCACATCTGAACTGATACATACCACCATCTTTCTCATCCCTATGCCAATACAATATAACTATTTACATAACATTCGTATTGCATTAGGTATGATAAGTAATCCAGAGATGATGTGAGSTGTATAGGAAGATGTACATAGGTTCTTGCAAAGAGTGTACCATTTTATCCAACAGACTCAAGTATCCACAGATTTTAGAATCCTTGGGAATTTCTGGAACCAAAACCTCACAGAGACCAAGGGAATGCTATCTTATTTTACTTAGAAGAAAGTAAATAAAGCTATAGATAGGATTCAGGTCAAAAATCCTGAGTTGTGAAGATTAACCTTGATTATTTAGGTTGAAAAGTGGAAAACTTCTCCTGAGTGTAGAAGAAAGGTACRAGGCGATTGGACTCTGCAGATTGGACTGTGCAGATGCTTGTTTCATACATTTTTCTTAGGCCAACCTTCTTCTATATTTGGCTTTTATTAGTGTGTTGCTGTGAGTTTTCTCCCTAGCCTTCCTTTCATTTTCTCATAATACTTCTCCCTATGCAATTTCAACTACCATCTCAATATTCTCTCATGGTAGATGTCTTTTTAGAGACCCTGAGCCACATGCCCAACTGTCTACATTAGACCTGTCCATTGGTCACAAAGYACCTCCAGATCAATACCCCTAGAGAACCCAGCCCCCTTCCCCAGCCTTCTCCATCACAACAAAAAGYGCCAACACCCAAACAAATCAGTTAACTTGAGATCCTGAGATCACCTTGACAACCTCAAGAGTCATAACTAGCCATTGGTTCTCTGCAAWGCACCCCAAGGTATCTCTGAAAATGTCAGCACTCCCCATCCCTTCCTCTACATGACCCAGTACCCAGATGTCTAACGGTCACCTTGTGACTTTCTCTTGGCTCTTCCCATCCATTTCAAACACACCACATAGAAGACTTTTCATAATGATCGTGCTACCTTGATAGTGGTGAACTTCAAATGATCAACGGATGTTGAAGGATGTGGCTCTTGCCACACTTCCAACAGCTTTTGCATAACTTTCCTCTAAGTGTTCTGTTTTTCTCCATGGTCTCACAGCTTTTGGGTTGTTCCTGCCTCCTTCAGGATCTCTCCTCTACATGGAAATCTCTCCTTCCGTCTCTGCTCACTAAACTACACCTTGTAGCCCTCAAAGCCCAGGCTTCCTGTCAGTCTCTCTGGAAATTCACCCTCCAACCTCTATCTGGGTTAGGTTTCCCTG